GTTGATTTTTTTCAGAGAACCAATTTTTAGCTTCATTAGTTTTTTTTCTATATTTCCCCCTTTTCTCTATTTTTCTTTTCCCTGCTCTAATCTTTATTGTTTCTTTCCATCTGCTTGCTTTGGGCTTTCTTAGAATGGAAATATAGGTTACTGATTTGAAATTTTCTTCTATTTAATATGGTTACTACAGCTAGACATTTTGGTTCATTCTTTTCTCTATATTCCATAAGATTTGATATATTCTCATTTTATTCATCTCCAAGTATTTTTTGTGTGTGATTTCTTTTTTTCATACATTGGTAATTTAGGAGTTTGTTGTTTAATTTCCATGTATTTCTGAATTTTCCAAATTTCCTTGTTACAAATTTCTAATTTCATTTCATGTGATTTGACAATATTGTGTGATTTCAATCATTTTCTATTTACTGAGGCTTGTTTCATGGTCTGTCTTGGGGAATGTTCCATATGCACCTGAGAATGTATATACTGTTGTTGGGAGTATTCTAAGTGTTTATTACTATTAGTTGGTTTATACTGTTGATTAAATCTTCTTTTCCATGCTCATCTGTCCAGCTATGCTGTTCAGTTTTTTTAAGATTTATTTATTTGAGAGAGAGCTAGAGGAGGAAGTGGCAGAGAGAGAGGGAGAGACAGAATACCAAGCAGGCTCTGTTGTCAGCACAGAACCTGATACAGGGCTCGATCCCACGAAATGTGAAATCATGACCTGAACCAAAATGAAGACAAGAGTCAGTTGCTTAACTGACTGAGCCACCCAGGTGCTCCAGCTATTCTTTCATTTTTGAAAGTCAGATCTTGAAGTGTAACTCCTTCAATTTTGTATGTCTGTGAGAGTCCTTATTTTATTTTTTTTGAAAGATATTTTCAGTGCATGTGAAATTCTAGGTGACAGGATTTCTTTTCTTTCTTAATTTCTTTAACCATACTTCAAGGCATTGGTCCACTGTCTTCTTCCTTGCATTGTTTCTGTTTAGGATTCTATTATTTGTGTTCTTCTTAATAGATCTTATTTTTCCCACTCTTCCTGCTTCTAAGAGTTTCTCTTTTATCACTGTTTTTGAGCCATTTATAATGTGCCTTGGTATAATTTTATTCATGTTAATTCAGCTTCTTGGATCTCTGGGTTTATCATATGCAGCAAATTTGGACAGGTTTCTCCATTATTTCTTCAAGTATTTTTTCCGTCCCCCTTTCCCCTGGGTCTTTCAAGGATTCCTGTTATACATATTCAGCCATGTAAAGTCTCACAGCTCACTGATACTCTGCTCATTTTGTTTTCAATTCCTTTTTTCCCCCCTCTGTTTCATTTTGGATAGTTCCTGTTGCTATATTTGTTGAAGTTTTCTTTTGTAGGCATTTATTTCCTGTTAATCTCATTCAGTGTATTTTTTTTTAACATAGACATTATTTTATTTCATTTCCAGAAGTTTGGGTCTTTTTTATATTTCCGTAGCATGGATCTACTGGAACATAAAAAAAGAGGGGTGGAATAACCATGTCTTTAGGTACTAATTTAATCATCTCTGCCTTTTGAGTATGTTTCTATAGATTGATTTTTGTAATTACAGATTGACTTTTATAATTACTGGTTGCATTTTTTTTTTTTTTTGCTTCTTTGCATTCTTGGTAATTTTTGATTAGATGCCAGGCATTGCAAATTTTACTTTGTTGGGTACAGCATGTATTTATTTGTATGTACATCCTTTAAAAATATTCTTGAGATTTAAAAAAAAAAAATTTTTTTTTAACATTTATTTATTTTTGAGACAGAGAGAGAGCATGAACAGGGGAGGGTCAGAGAAAGAGGGAGACACAGAATCTGAAACAGGCTCCAGGCTCTGAGCTGTCAGCACAGAGCCCGACACGGGGCTCGAACCCACGGACCGCGAGATCATGACCTGAGCCGAAGTTGGATGCTTAACTGACTGAGCCACCCAGTCAGCTCTCTTGAGATTTGTTTTAGATCACAGTTACTTACTAACAGATCTTTTTGAGGCTTGCTTTTAAGCTTTGTTAGGCAGAACCATAGCACCCTTTATCCTAGGGATAATTTTGCTACACTACTGAGGCAATACTCTTCTGGGTTCTTTGTTCATACCCCATGTTTATAAAAGTTTTTATACTCTGTCTGATGGGAACATGAAGTATTTTCAGCATGGTTTGAGCTTGCAGAACTGTTCCTTCTATTCCTTTCCAGTCTGGTTATTCATCCAGCCTCCGGTTCTTTGTTCACATGCATGTACAGATCATCATTCAGCTGAAAACCTGAGGGGATCTCATTGCAGATCTCTAGTACATGCTTTGTCTCTGTGGACCCTCTCTGCACAGCTCTGCCCTCTCCTGTGCTTTGTCCTGCGAATTATAGTTGCCTTGACCTCCCTGAATTTTCAACTGTGTCCTTAATTGAAGGAGACTGCAGGTTCCCCTTGAGTTCTCCTTTCCTAAGTTATAGCCTGGAAACTTTCTAGGCAATATGTTGATGACCTTGTGGAGCTCACTTTATTTTCCTTCTTTCAGGGATGTTTGTTTTCCACTGTTTGGAAATCGTTGTTTTATTCATTTTATTTTGTCTCTTTGTAGTTGTTTAAGCCTGAAGGCTAATTCCAGTCCCAGTTTCTCCATCTTGACTGGATTTAGAAGTCTCCCTGAAGTTATTTTGAGCAGTGATAAGTCATATAACTTTACATATTTAGTGGTAGCAACTGGTAAATTACCACTTACCTCTTTAGCTATGCCTGGTAGGTTACATTAGATTATCCACAGCTTTTTCTGGTTGTACTGTTGCAGCATTTAGGTCTCAGGATTTAGGATTCAGTAAATAAGGGTGGGGGGGCGGGGAGTTTTTCATATGCATATCATCCATGACATTGCCAAATAAGATAGTTCACAACTATCTTACTGCAACTGGGGCCACAAGATCCTGAAAAGTTTCTAGAAAGCAAGCTCAGTAAATGTAAATTGATTAAATGTAAGATACTAAGATACATAAAATACCACCAATGCCATCTATTTAATTTTATTACTTTTTAAAAGACTCATTTCTTTATTTTTGAGAGAGAGAACACAAGTTGGGGAGGGGCAGAGAGAGGGAGACACAGAATCTGAAGCAGGCTTCGAGCTGTCTGTGCAGAGCCAGACGTGGGGCTTGAACTTAGGACCTGTGAGATCAGGACCTGGGCTGAAGTCAGACACTTAACTGACTGAGCCACCCAGGTGCCCCACCATCTGTTTAACTGTAAAGAATAAGGATAATATAGTTGCTTTTGAAAGCTAGCTGAAACCAACTAATAAAACTCAGCACAGCACACACAAAAATATAGGCTGATATATGGTATGGAAGTGATTGCTGAAATCTAAAATACAATATTAGCAAGTTGACTTTAGCACCCTCCTATAATGCTGGAAGGGAGATAAGCAATGATAAGAGTTCTTTTGAAGGATTGTGGGAACGAGTTTGAAGACTCATAATATTCAATGGAAGAAAAGAGTGAATCAAATAATTTGAAGATAGTGTTTCTCAGCGTGATCCAGAGACTTTGGGCCAATTGCAGATTCTTGTCAATGAAGAAGTACTGAATCAGACAGAACCTGGTCTCAATACAGACACAGGAAAATATAGAGATGGTGATAATATGTGAGCGAGAGGTGGAAGGAAGGATATGGTGAAATTAGTTACTTTTTAATCCATTTTTGCTTTGGATCTTGTGTTTGAGATGACCACTTGATATCCAAGTGGATATATCTGATAACAAATGAAAATAAAGTCATACTGGAGATGTATGTCCCTTTTCTCCATGGTAATGATGACTAAAGTGATGAGAATAGTCTACTGAGGGATGAAGTAGAAAGAAAATCACTTAGTTTAAGGCACTGGACCTTGGAGGTAAGATGAGACAGAGATGGAATAATCAGTGTCTAAGTAGTGTGTTATTAGTGTATTATTAATAGTGTATTAAAGAGACATTGAAGGGTATGTTATATTGTGTCATCAGAGGAAAATGAGAACTAAAAAGAGGGTATTAATAACCATTGAGAATGCAGTGGTAACCACTGAGAATGCCATAAATAAAGGGTACAGTGATGTTTATAAATACCAAGTGCTTTAAGAAATAGTGACTCGGGGCACCTGGGTGGCTCAGTTGGTTAGGCATCCGACTTCGGCTCAGGTCATGATCTTGCGGTTTTTGAATTTGAGCCCCGTGTTGGGCTCTGTGCTGACAGCTCAGAGCCTGGAGCTTGCTTCAGATTCTGTGTCTCCCTCTCTCTCTGCCCCTACCTTCCTCATGCTCTGTCTCTCTGTCTCTCAATAATAAATAAACATTAAAAAAAAAATTAAAAAAGAAATAGTGACTCAAATACTGAATACTAATTGTGACATCACAATTTAACCTTAGAGATTTTTAAGAGCAGGGTTCAGCAGATGTTTTTGTTAAAGGGTCAGATAGTAAATATTTTAGATTTGGAAGGGCATATAGTCTATTCTAACTACTAACTCTGCTATAGTATGAAACTAGCCTCAGTCATTATGTAAACAAATGTGTGTAGCTGTGTTCCAGTAAAACTTTATTTATAAAAACAGCTGGCAGACTATAATTTGCTTACCTTTGAGCTAGAGGAACCTCTGCTTTTCAGCATTTTTTTCTGTATTATTTTTCATTCCATTTGCATTGAGATATAAATCAACACTGGCTAACTTATTTCTGATAAAAAGGATTAAAACTAAGTATTAGTAATGAAGCTTGAAAAGATCCAGAAGAAATTACTGTTCTGTTGATCTTAAATTTAGTAAGCTTGACTAAATAGCACCCCCAGTATGCCCTCATGTATGAGATGGTAGAACTGAAATAGGGACATTTGCTCCCTCCCCCCAAACCCCCCCCCCCCCCCCACCGTCCATATAATGACTAATTCAATGTGGTTTGAGTTGATTTGTTTAACATTTTGTCAATTGTAATAATAATTTGCTTTTACCTTTTCAGTCTCGGAGAAATCTCTGTGAAGAGGCTTTGTTAAAAATTAAAGGTGTTATTAGCTTTACTTTTCAAATGGCTGTTCAAAGATGTGTGGTGCGGATCCGTTCAGATTTGAAAGCAGAGGTTAGTATTTTAAATGGCTGAATATGCTTGAGGTTATAGATAAACAAATCAGTGTTCAAATTTCCCTTTTTATCCTGGCCTAGGCTTTGGCATCAGCAATAGCATCAACCAAGGTTATGAAGGCTCAGCAAGTTGTGAAAAGTGAAAGTGGAGAAGAGGTAAATGCTTTTTAATTTAGTTTTCTTTATACCTGACTCTTGATTATTCTTTCTGGCTGTCAGATTGCTAGTATTTTCAGGCTGTTAGTTGCCAAATATATAGGAGTGTGGTTGGGTCAGATTATCTTGTTTCTTGGCTAACAGCTCTTTTCTAGAGAGATCTATTGTAGATTTCAGGGTCTGTTCTTAAATTTTGTGGATTTCAGAGTCTATTCTTTTTCTCAGTGGAGATATCTTTCTAATTTTACATGGAAATAAAGGATATATATATTCCTTGTGTTGGTTTTATTTTATGTATGTTATGTTATTTTAGAGAGGGTGAGAAGGGTAGAGGGGCAGAGAGAATCTTAAGTAGTTTCCATGCTTAGCGCATAGCCTGATACAGGGCTTGATCCCAAGACCCTGGGATCATGACCTGAGCTGAAATCAAGAGTCAGATGCTCAACCGACTGAGCCACCCAGGCACCCCTGTGTTGATTTTTAAATACTTCTTTCTAACCTTAGTTACTTTTTGTCAATCCAAATAATAAAGCTCTATTGCCACAATTGGGTAGGTAAATACAGTGAAAACCTTTGCCTCTTACTACTTTCGCCACCAGCTTTGTGATAGGGAAAACAAATCTACATCCCCTTAACTTATTTGTGTTCCCATAGAAAGGTTCAGTGGCCCTTCGGGGCCCACAGTAGCCAGGTACTTGCTTTTGTTTTCTTTAAATGCAGAGAGGTTGCACATTTATTTCTGGAGCCTCAGGAGAAAAGCATCTTACTTTTCATGTGTCTTTCTGCCTAATGCAGTGCTCAACAGTTGGGCCTACCTTCATATAAGAGGAAAATTTTTAAATGACTATTGTCACTGAGAATAAATACAGTGATAAGAGTGAGGTGTATAGTTGATCTTTAATTTAGGACATGTACCTTTGTCGATTGGGTTGATTTTGTAATAACTCTTAATGTGTTGTCTATATCAGATGCTGGTCCCATTCCAAGATACGCCTGTGGAAGTAGAACAGAACACAGAACTGCCCGACTACCTGCCTGAGGATGAGAGTCCCACAAAAGAACAGGATAAAGCAGTGTCCCGGGTCGGCTCACACCCAGAGGGTGGAGCTAGCTGGCTGAGCACAGCGGCAAACTTTTTATCCAGATCGTTCTACTGGTGACTTCAGTTTGGGTCTCAAGGACTGTGTGAACTAACAAGGGGCCAGTTTTCCATTGTTGTGGTGAACTGTCAAGTGCAATTTGCAATAAGTTATCATGAAAAGTTTTTAGATTACATGATTGCGTATGCTGCATTTTACATTTTATTGGACGTTTTGCCCTGCTCAGTGGTAAAAAGGACAGAGGCTACAGGTGGAGTTCCTTTGTTTATGAAGGTATTTTGGTTTTGTTTTCCTTTAATTGCCTCACTTTTTAAAAAACATGGGTCCACTGTTAAACCAAACATATATATGTGCAGCTTTACATTTTATTTTACACAGAGCACGTGATTAGGAAAACTTGTTTTCTCCTCAAGCCTCAGGACCTATCTGAAGAGAAGTTTTTGTTTGTTTTGGCTCAAGTTGTGCATGAATTACTGAACATTTTTCTCTGCTTTTCTTCATGAAAGATAGTTGCTTGGGTACTCTTCACTGAAAGTTGAAAACATTTCTCATTATCCCCCTCTTGTGCCTTTTTTATTTTGCCAACCATGTTTATAGAAAGAACATTACTATAAAGACATTTTGTGAATTACAGTATATTTATATGAACGTAGGAGTTCTCTAAAAATACAAGCTGACAAAAACTTTGCAATCTTATTTGTTGTAATTTTAATAAGACTAACACAAAATCAGTCAAGAAGAAGGAAACCTGTATATTAGCAAAGTACTATTGGAGACTATGTGAATGTGACCAGATGTGGTTCCAGTTGACTACTCTTTAGTTTGGTTTATATCAGCTCTTAAGATTTCCGTCCAACGTAATATTGGGAGCAACTATAAATGGTCTCTAGGCCTGACTTTGTGATTATATACCATCCTTGCTAGAAAAAAAATAGTAAAGAACTGACAAACTTGAAAAAGAAAACAAAAGTTGAATGCCTATATAATGCCATAGTGCCACTTGGTAGATAGAGTCTAACCTTGAAACGCGAATTGCTTGGCAGATGCCTATTCAGTAGGTATTTCCTTGTATTGCCTTGTGTGAATTTATTATGAACATCCAGTCGTACTGAATGAAAAAAAGACTCAAATTATTGCTTATGAAGAAATAAAGCCAGCATTGGTCCACTTAATCTTGTTTCTCATATCCAGCCAGAAAAAAAGAACTTCAGTGAAGGTAAGAGAAATAAATATAAATATATATACATATATATTTTTTGGTAGATAAGAGCTAATTACATATATGTAATGCTTTATTAAATTCCTGAAATATTTGGCACATAAAATTTTCCTTTTGGAAATCCAGCTAAATCCAGATAAATTTTAGTGCTAATATGATTAAGAAGAAACTAATACGGAGAAATTGAAATTCTTTTTCATCAACATGTAGAGCTGCTATTTTACTACTTGGGGAGAATGTGAAGTGAAAGTTGGACCCTGGAGGGTTTCCTTGCATTTTCATTGCTTCTCTTTTAGAGAAAATTAAAAGCATCCAGTGTCACTGTAAAAAAAAATTCTTGTAAAATACTTCACCAACAACAATCTTGAGTTCATGACCTTCTGGAGGGAGGGGTATTGAGGGTATTGGAATGATATTTTTCATGTGTCTGGGCTCTGATTCAGATGACATACACAACTGCAAATAGAAGCTTTCAGGGCATGGATTGCTTTAAATGCATAATACAGCTTGCTGCCAGAACCAGATGTGTTGAAAAATGAAAACAAAACCACCTCCTTTCTATAGCCATTAAAACAAAGTTTACTGTTCTAACAAGTTTGTATTTTATTTTGCATTGCCACACATCTGCCTATTTAAAAAACTACATCTCTTGGTAGCAATGGTTCAGTACAAGTAGGTATGAACAGCTTGATGTCTGTGTGTTCTAAGTGTTCTTTTATTCCAGGTCTTATAGAGCAGTTAAGGCAACTGTAACGGCATTTTTTTGAAATATATTGTAAAATAATAAAAGGTAACACAATTAAAATTGAATGGATATTGCATTTTTGTGATGGAAACATTATTGTTACTCTCGAGCCTGTTTGTATTCACACTGCCTGGCACCTTCTCCTAGCTCCCTGCAGGTGCGTTACCCAACTAATTCCCATGCATCTTCGTTCAGCTCCTTCCCAGCCCCACACCTGCCTCTCCCTGGGTTTGGATCAGCCGCTCCTGTACATGCATTCATTGTAGCATTTATCATATTAGCTTGAAATTATATTTACCAGTCTTTCTCCCCAGCTTAACTCTTTGAGAACTGAGAAAGTCTGTAGCTGTACGTGGCTAGTAGTAAGTGCTCAAATATTTTTTTTAGGAGGATGAACAAGATTTTTTTTTTGAATCTGTAAAAATAAATGAAAGATAGTGATTAACTTGTTGGTCAGATAGGAAAAATGTCAGGTTGTTTCTTTCTTTTTTTCTTTTTTTTTTTTCCTGGCATGTTTGTTTCTGATTTATTGGTTATTATTAGCAAGTTTCGTCATTTGTTTTGTCATTTGTTTTTCATTTTTCAAAAAAGTAGGAGAGAAGCATAATACTTGCTCTTGAATGAAGTTAGGATTAATTTATAATATCCTGATTCTTATAGAATTTTCATAGAATATTTATTTATTTATTTATTTATTTATTTATTTATTTATTTATTTATTGTTTTGATTTCCTGTTTTATAACTTACTGACTGTAATTTTAGGTATAATTTATCTGTGAGTTTTTTTTTCATTGATGGAATGGAGATAATTCTACTTTATGGGGTCATTATTTGAATGCAGTGAGATCATCATGAGTAATGAAACTAAAATCTTAAAATTGTAAGATGGAATTATTGTTTCTAGAAGTTTGACACGATTCTATTCTTGTCCTGAATTCCAAGTGAGACCCTATGCCTTGCTAAACACACTCTGGCTCCTCATCTTTCTCTGTCCAATCAGAGGGTAATGTTTGAGAGTTAGTTCACCGCTACGTGATTTTTTTCTGAATGTCCCTTGAAGAATTCATCTGTTGTCAAGATTTCAGTTACCTTTGTGTCGATAATTTCTGAGTCTCCATCGTATCATCATCTTTGATAGCTCCCCTTTCCTTTACTATCCCTATCAGATGTAAAGTCTGTGAATTTTTATTTCTCTTAGAACCAAGCTCATGGTAGGCATGGAGTAGACTTAAAAACTAATTCTGTGTCCGCCACCATGCTAAGTGCTTTATAGATACTTAGTCCTCTAACCCTGAACAACTATGAGGTAGGTACTTTGGTGTGTTCATGTTACAGATAGGGAGAGTGAGGCAGAGAAATAGTAAGTAGCTCATTAGTGCCAGGTGACAGAGCTGGCAAATGGTGAAGCCAGGACTCCAACTGAGGCAGTCTGGCTCCCGAGTCTACACTGTCGCAGGGCAGCCTGCATCTTGGGTCCTGCTGCTGTGCCTCTCCCGTTCTACCACCATCATTCCCATCCAGACACTTGTGCCTGAATCATGTCAAGTGACTTAATTCGGATGTCTGTTAGCAATCAGAAACTCTGGACACTAGGAAAGTTAGGTACATGAAAGAAATAAGTCTGGTTAGGCCACAACAAAGGAAAATACATGTAGAGCAGCTGGTCTGTCTAAAGAGGGAAACTATTTTTGTCATGTGGATTCTGGGCTTTTAATAATGGCGAGCTTCTGGACTTTGTGGCTGTTCCAGATCTCTAAAATACTACCTGTTCCACAGAAAACATGTTTGGGCCAGAAATTGGCTACTTCTAGAGTAGCCACATTCTAATCTATCAGATTAATCTTAACAGTATTTTTGTCATTTTCTGCTGTGATGTCAACAAAGGCCCATGGCTTAGTTTAGACTGCTTGGCTAGCACCAAAAATGCCATGAGAATTTAGCTACCAACCTAGTCTTTCATACATTCTATAGCATTATTACAGATTTTTCTATATGTAAGGCATAGTTGTTATTCTGTTAGAGAAAGTCTGCTTTAGTCAGTCTTGTCTATTTATTGTAACCTAAGTATTTTGTATTCATCCTACCCTCTAGATCTTTGCTCAGATTCTTTCTTATCTGGAATTTCCTCCTTTTTTTCTTTTCTTTTTTTTTTTTTTTTTTAATTTTACTAATTTTGAGAGAGACAGAGATAACACAAGCTGGGGAGGGGCAGAGAGAGAGCAAGAGAGAGAATCCCAAGCAGGCTCAGTCAGCACAGAGCCCTATGTGGGGCTCAAACTCACGAACTGTGAGATCATGACCTGAACGAAAGGAGTTGGATGCTTACCCAACTGAGCCACCCAGGCGCCCCATGGAATTTCCTCCTTTATACTATCATCTCCTTTAAAATAGTTTATTATGAAAAAGCTCAGTATGCGTAAAGAAATGCATAAAGAAAACAAGTCCTCTGTCATCCTACAACACAAATAATATCAATAACTAAACATTTTGATTTATCTCAACATTTACTAATCCATTTCAATTATTATTGAAGTATACACTTGAATTTTCATCTCTTTTTTTTTTTTTTTTTTTTTTGTGAGTAAGCTCTATGCCCAGCATAGGGCTTGAACTCATGACCCTGAGATAAGGAGTTACATGTGCTACCAACAGAGCCAACCAGGAACTACTACACTTTAAAGTTTTATTTTTTTAATTTTTAAATTTTTTGTTGTTTACTTATTTTGGGTGGGGTGGGCAAACTAAGGATCCCAAGCAGGCTCCAGGCTGACAATGGCGAGCCCGATGTGGGGCTTGAACTCATGAACTGTGAGATCATGACCCGAGCCGAAGTTGGTTGCTCAACTGACTGAGCCACCCAGGCGCCCCAACACTTTAAACTTTTTTTATTGTTTATTTATTTTTGAGAGACTGAGCATGAGCCATGGAGGGACAGAGAGAGAGGGAGGCACAGAATTGGAAGGCTCTGGGCTCTGAACTGTCAGCACAGAATCCAGGGTTGGGCTCGAACTCCCACTGTGAGATCATGATCTGAGCTGAAGTTGGACGCTCAACCTAGTGAGCAACTCAGATGCCCCAACACTTAAAATTTTTTA